AGGAGGGTATTTCCTGCAAGAGCATCACATGAGCTGGCATGTCACGCCGCGGGTATTGGGCCTGTGAGGTATGCCAGGAAGATCGATGCTTTTTTCTCCAAACTGCTCAGTGAGGAGGTTCCAGTCGTTCGATTGGGAGTTAGGAGAGATGGAACCAAGAACGGCGTACCGCTGTATTTCGTCAATGAGGCAGGATTCTCTAAGCAGTGGCCTGCCTTTGAATTTCACGGCTTCAAAGAAGGAGCCGCTGGTCCATGTTGCTTGTCATTTGCAGGCGCCGAGGTGTTTCTCAAAAAGCATCCAGTAGAGGGAGAAGCTGTCAACTCTCAGATGCTTCTGGGGTTGTTCTCTGAATTGCAAACGTTGTCGTTCTCTGCGAAGTTGGTGAGGGATGCTGGGTTTTCCTTGGTGTCAACGCCGAGGCTGAGATATGCCCTGGTGTATTCAGGGGGACCAGCTTGGCCTTCGCCTGCTTCAATGTTCGAGCAGCTGACATCCAAGAGACCAATGTCAACTCAGAGGCTGCTGGGAGCTGAGGTGGCGCTTTCTCCAGAAGTGTTCCTTTTGGTCATGAAGACCTTACCAGGACATGAGATGGCCACAGCACAAGCAGCGAAAGCAGCAGGGCTTCACCCAATCATCGTTTCATCTCATGGCGTTAACCAGCAAGAGCTGTTTGACACGGCCTTGCAGGTACAAATGGCGCCAGCGCTCGTTCAGGACGTGATTTTCGAGATAGAAGCGCAAGTCATGGATGCACTCCGCAAGCCTGCGAAGCCAGATAAGCGCGGTTTAAAAAGCTCGGGACCTTCTCTTGCCATNNAAACCCAAAGCCCCTAAACCCTAAAGGGGCTCTGCGCTCAGTCCTTTGGTCGGCCTCAGCGCTTTGGCCGTGGCCGCCGTGGCGCTGTGGCAGTCCTGGGGACTTTGGGCTGCTTGGCGGAGTCGGGCTCGGCTCTGAGTGCGGGAATTATACTACAGGTTTCGGTGGAGTTTTGTAGACAGGGAGAAGCGGGGATAACGCAGAAACGGATCAGAAGGCACGGGCATGTAGAGAACTGGAGACGATGAATCAAGGCGATGGGATTGAGACATTCGCGTGGCACTTTTCTCCCAAGCTGGGTGCCAACCGTCCTGAGAAATCGTTCAACAGATACAGTTTTTTTCGAGTCGATTTGTGTGGCTGCGCCCTAAAACCATATAGCATAGCTCCGGTACTCACTCTTCAAATTCCTGCCTTTGCTTGACCAGAGTGATGAGATGTGATGAGTCATGTTGGGCCTTGGTGGGTGATGGTAGTCGGCTTGATGAAGCCACGATCTTCTCCTACCCCAGGCAGCAGAACTCATGTTTCGCTGACTAAGGGCAACTTCCTACCCCTAGTTTTGGGAGACCGTGTCGCCTTTGCTTTTGCAGTGGACTGCACCCTCTTTGCCGTCTTGCAGGCGTAGCTCGGCAGAGAAGTTGGCATGCGATGTGCCAACTGGCTTTGTGAAGACAGCAGTCGGCACTGGCTCTCGTGGGTCCTAGATTCTCAACGACTCCTAGGTATGTCTTTGCAGAGACTGCTGGCCCGGCTTGGCGCTTTGTGCCTTGACGCTGAACTTCACATGGGGCGTTGCGATGGTTGGGTCGACGGGGTTGAGCTTGTTCTGTTTCTGTTTGACAGGTACCCCAAAACAACATAAGAACCCTGGCGAGCCACAGATTGCCGCATTTGCTTCTTCAGGTGCCCTTCCTTGGCTTGGTTGCATGGCTTCTGCTGCCTGCCGAGGAGGACCCGACTTGCATTATGGCGCAAACTGTAAGAAGTCAAGCTTTACTCACATTTGGCGCATGGCCATGTAAGGAGATGCCGCAGCAAGAGGGCCAGGCAACTCCGGCGTGACCGACTTTGCCATCCTCTCCGCTGCGTCACAAGTTCGGGTAGATATGAACAGCGGTCATGAAGTAATTCGGAATGGTTTCCTGCATTTCCCGTGGCTTTCTGCATTCCAACAAATTTTCATCGCGTTCGTGGCTGTGAAGCCCGACAGCGAATTTTTCTGGGCCTTTGTGGCACCACTTGGGCGAGCGACGACTGCGCGGAAAGAAGCTTTTCGGATCCTATAAGCCTTCGGGGCTTCACAGTGCCGCCTTTCCTGTGTGTGAGGCCCGAGCAAGTTGGCACTACCAGGTTGATTTGGTCGACATGAAGAAACAGGCGCGGTAATGTTCTGGCTGGCAAGTTGGTTCAAAGCACACTCTCCGCAGGACATTGCAGAGGAAGCTGGACAGATACTCACACATGCCTCTTTCCCTTGCAGAGGTGGTGCTTTGCTCCGGAAGCATCTCTGTGCAGGAGGCCGGTGACACCTGCACTGTAATTAATTCACTCTCCTGTGCCGGGATGTTCGCTTCTTCCTCCCAATTGGCCTGCAATGACGTCTGCCGGATGCCCCGCAGATGCTCGATGATATTTGCCGTACAGAGGGGTCCTGCACTTAGGCATTCGTACTCGTACACGTCATCGAGTCGGGAAAATACTTTCCCAGGCGGTGTGAAGTTACGCAGTACACGATCCGTGAGAAGTTGGAGGACCCACATTGCCGGCCACACATGATGGTACCCCACAGTTGCCCCACCACCCACGGTTGCAAGGAGTCCAAGTCGTTGCTGCAGAAGCCCTCCACTCCCGATCCGTTTGCAGACGACGTAAGGCCCATTAAGACCATGACATGCTGACTGGCAGCCCAGCATCTATGTGATGACTAAAGGCTCAGCTCCCTGCGAGGTGTGGGTCCATTCTTCGGAAGATAGTCTTGAAGCAGCTGGACAAACCGTACAAAGCAGCGCTGGAGCTCGTGGGAGACAGCCTTTCCCATGCAGATTCGATCCATACGGGTTCACAGATGGCATCACATGAGTCGCGTGTGCCTTTGAACTGATTTTTAGATCCGAAGAGAGAGCAAGTGGAAGGCCTGGCCTTCTGGGCCGCATTTAGTTGCTTCGCTTGGGCGGTACGAAGGGAAAATGGAAACCCATCGCGAGGATCAGGGAGTCGCAGACGCGGCCAGCCCCAAGGCCAAGCGCAAGCAGGCCCACCCGTGACACTACGAACCTGTCCAACCAGCAAAGCACCTGCGAAGCCTTCAGCACAGAGTGAGGTGGGCGAAGCCATTGGCAGCGCTTTGGTCACGTTGGGACTCCGAAACAACACCGAGCGAGTCGATCGAGGCCCGGGAGCACTGCGCCGCAGCGCCGCAGCGCTGGCCACGTGTTGCTTGCGGATCGCAGGCACGGACGACATGGAGCTCTACGTGCGCTTCCAGGCCTGGAGACCAGGCTTGAGACTGGCGGGAGCGGAAAAAGACGCCGGGACGCAACAGGTCGTCTCTCGTTGGAAAGGTCTCTCCAGAGGGTGTCCAACTCAGAGACTCCTTGGAACGGCATCCCCCGGCCCAGCCCCGCAGCGAGGAGCCGCAGTCCTCCTTCGGTGCCTATGCGGGCGCCCTCTGCCGTGAGGCTGGGCGGCAGGAGTCTTGGGTGAGCTGTGCTCGGCAAAGTATAACAGGTGTATTGCCACCCTCGCGCCTGGTTCTCAGAGCACTTTTCCCTCTGCAGTTCATACTGAGCCCGTGCTTTGCAGATGTGCTGCTTTCTCTTAGGAACTCCATCGTCGCGGGTTACGAGGCTCTGCTGAAGAAGCAGCCCAGCAACCATGGTAACCATGGCATTTATCGCCCACCAGCATGCCGCAGCTGCCTTTGCAACCCTGCCGCCACCACCACCACCTCCTGCACCTCATCCTTCTTCGTCGTATGCATCATTATGGTCTTTATCAGCAGCATGAGGTTCTTCATTTGTCATCTTCGCAACAGCCAGGAGTGGCCGGAGACGTGGGTTCCCATGCACCTTCAGCATCCCAAACAGTCCAAGCTAGACCCACATGAGCAGTCCTGAGGCTCCAAGACCAGACCATCAGCCCGTGGGCTGCAAGCGACTTCTAGCGCAAGCTGAGCACCTCACTGTGGCAGCAGCATGCAGCAGCACGATCATGCACGATATCCACCGCAAAATGCACACGGGACATGTGCAGAGAGCTCGATTCAGGAAGCGTCCGGAAGCACGTTCTGCATACAAAAGTGTGTGCGCAGAGAGCTCGTTGTGCCCAACAAAGTTCCCCCAAGAAGCGGGGCCGGAGCGGGACTCGGGAACGCTGTGGTCGTGGCTGTCTGGTCACGCGACGGCAGCTGAGTGCTGGCAAACTAAGGGTTCAGGCTGGCCGTGTTTCTGCAGGGCGAGCGAGGTTTGGTGAGAACGTTGTCCTTCTGCGATGTGGGCGTGACGACCGCTTTCGTGTACAGGGGTACTGATGCTTATGTATGACATGATGGTCTCTATGCACAGCGGAGGTAGTGCACGGACTCTCTTGCAAGCCTGCACGCTCGCGTCTTTTTTTTCTCGGTGCTGTCCCCCGAGCATGCACAGATGTAGGGAGGCGGGCTTCTGCAGCTAGGTAGGTGCCCAGCAGGATTCTTGCGTGCTTTGGTCTCCAATCATCCGCCCCACTATGTTGTGTTGGATGGGTTGCCCGGTGAAGTTGTCGTCGCTTTGCCCGACTGGCATCGTGCTTAGCTGTGGCTGCAGCTACTTGTCCGCAGTATTTGTCATGCTTGTTGTGATTTCGTTGCTACACTTGTTCCCCCTTTCCCCTCGTGGGTAGTGCCCCTGTCCCTTTGATGGCCTTCCCTCTGTGGTGCGATTTTCGGCGTGTGCAGACGCACCTGTCACGCTGACATTGACACCCGCCGACTCGTCCCCCCTAACCTGCTGTGGTTTGGGTTGGGCGGTGGGTCCTGCTGCGAACCCTCTCGGCAAGCCCCACGAAAAGACAATCATGCAGATCACCACTACTTGCCGTACGTGCTACAGCAAATGTTGCAATTTTTGAGATGCGAATTTGCCCTGCATGTCGAAAGCTTTCGCGAGTTACGAGAAACGTGACGACGATCGCGTCCTCCCTCGTGTCAAAAGGCGGTTTTTTCTTGCTTCACACGGCTGGCAGGATGGCAATGTCTTCGTCTGGGACGCATGTGGACAATCCAGCCCTCTGCACCAGTTCCAGGCCTTACACTCGCTCAGTGTTTTCGGATTCTGCAATCTGCTGCAACTTTCCTTGCTGGATGAGAGGTTGGTGTTCGGGATCTTCCGACTGATATCGCAATCAACTTCAGCCGAGCTTCATTGGTACCGTGCCAGGCGCACGAGGTGCCAGTCAGCGCCATCGCTGTCCTGCCACCTCTTGGTTGTGCGGCAAGCTGAGCATGCATTGCTTCGAGCCAGACTAGAAATTATCGGTGCCTGTTTGGCCCTTGGTGATCGTCTCCCCATTCCATTGCCCGGCATCTAGCGCTGCCCCCATCCAGCCACAAAACAGCCCCTCCACCATCTGCACTCTTCTGAAAGCTTCGAGCCAGCTGGCAGTAAGTAGTGCCTCAGGTGGTCACCGCAGGCGAGGTGCGCAACGGTCTAGAGGCACGGGACTGGCACGGGCTTCAGCCAAACTCGACGGATCTTGGCCTGTGAGTTCAGCAGCGGGCCCCTTGCAGGAATTGTGAGGTCCACCTGTCAAGGCTACTTTCAAGCGGCTTGCACTCCTTCATGCACGAGCAGGCTTTCTCCGAATCACGGATACGCCTCTGGAGCACCGTCACCTTGGAATTGCGTCAGTCTGTGCGACTGGGCTCAGATGAGAAGCTTGCAGAGCAGCTATGACTCGTGCACTCATGGTGGGAGGTGATGTATTTTGGTACGCACAGCATAGCCCAACTACTTTCGCTGGGTGTATACAGGGAGGAGGCTGCACAGAGGTTACACTCGAGCTGTTGCCATATGCCATGTGCCTAAGAACGTAGACAGTCAGGAAGTAATTTGCAAAGCCACGAACCGTCATAACATGTTGGGTAGCGGTTTCGGCAGACGGGCCTATATCCCTGCTTCTTGTCAGCTGCGGGCAAACACGAGGTCGTTGAACGGCTCCGTTGCACGCGTTTTACGACCTCTAGCCGTGATCTTGGTAAGCATACCTTGTGTTAAATGTTTCAGGTGCAAAACACTTGCAGAATGCCAGCGCACAGTGCAGACGTTGTTCTTTCTCTCGCAGTGCTGATGCTCATCACGCCCGATTCCTGCCGTGGCTTGCTGCAGCAATAATATAAATAATGCTGTTTGGCTACAAAGGTTCTGGGCGCAGCCATCGAAGACATCATGCGGGCCGCCGAGAAAGCAGGTCGGGCCTCGAGTCTCGAGGGAGGCAGCTCCTGCTCAAGAGCCTCCAAGCCAGGCCGTTCGATCGAGAAGCGGGAGAAGGTGCGACATGGTGCGAGAGTCGCAAGCGTGCGGGTGTACAGGAACAGATGTTGAAGTTGAGCTTATATTCCATTCTGCCTCCTGGTGTCGATATTGCCTGAGGGGACGCTTGTCGAGGTACCCCGAAAATCAGCATACTGAGACCAGGAATCGTGCATAGTTTCAAGACAATGTTCAGCAACCGAGCATCTCAAGAAAAAGCATTGAGAGCTGGTTCCTGCAAAGGTGGTGCCTCCGTGTCTGGCCGTGGGCACTGACTCGAGGTGCAGTTGGTCTCGCCGCAGAAAGCACACGACTCTGAAGCGGTTATTTACGCGTGCTGCGTGCAAGAGTCCGCGAAAGAGGGCTGACCAACTCTTGTCACCGTCCGAGCGGCTTCCAGCGCACATTGGATGTGAAATGCGGTGAAGAGATGACTTGAAAGCTGCCAGGCAGGCAAAGCAAGTTCGCCTGATGCGTGTCAGCTTAGATGTTAAGAGGAAATAAAGCGAAGCATTGGCCGGAGTCTCGGAGAGTGACTGAGCAGAGCCCCCGGGCACTCGGACATTCTCGGGTGGAGCTAGGCTAGCGCCTAGTGGCTTTGGCTGAGAGAGTTGCATTGAGTTGCATTCCTATACAGTCCCGTAGATAGGGATCTCCCAGCACAGAAGGCCAAGGGAGGGGGTAAACGCAATTGAGGCAAGAACTCATGCCTTGGCTGTCTTAGCTCTTGATTCCTCCTGATTCCTTCTTTGCTGGAGTACTGACCTGACCAGCTTATCAAAGATTGCCTGGTCTCACATGTCTACATTCTACCTGGATGGAAAAATTCGTTGATGGATCTGACGTCGGTCACGGTCCTGAGTCCAAAGAACTGCTGAAGGCAGCTGACTGCATGCACTCTTGCCAGGCGCAAGCGCAAAACAGTAGTGTGACGAGCCTGAGCTTCATGTGTGCATGGTGCTGCAGCTCAGATTCTCGATTCGAACAGCCATCAGAGGATCGGTGCAGCTGACCCATGTGCGAAGTGGCATGCACTCTCACTGCAATGTGTAGGAGTGTAAGACGAAGCGGGTCAGCGATTCAAGGTTGCTGTGGCGTAGCGGCCTCAATGCTGGCAAATTCTTCAGCAGTACCTTCTTCGACTTGCCCGTTGATGCTCGTCACACCTGCATGCTTGCCTCTGTGAATCCATTGAATCCAATGACGGCCAAAGACCGCATCAGCGGGATGCACTTGCTTGGGCTCCTGTTGAGCATGACCCCTGGACTTGCTTTAAAGAAAGAGAGCTGTCCTCAGTAAGCGGTAAGCATAATACGCACGAGGCCTACTTGGCCGACGTTTGACATGAACGATGCGATCGCGTGGGTCTTACGCTCCGAAGCGATCGCAGGGAAGCGCTACTTCGTGCTCGACTCGAGAAGTTTGCAGGCACAGCAACCAGAGGCCGGGATCTCGAGCGGCGCCGCACTTGTGGGGCTTCGGGAGTGCGCATCTGGCATTTTTTCAAGCTTCCAGATTTGCAAGCATTCCTCGCCAGGATGTGATCGAGGCTGTTGATCATGATGGCTGCAGAGCAACGCAGGTGCCACTCGTCATGTTTGTACCCTGTCGCTCTGCCGGATGGATGCATGTCTATGTCTATACAGAGCCAAGCCCGGCTAAGTCCGAAGCCTTCCCGAACGAATTGAGAAGACAATCCCGTCTAGTCCGACTGCAAACGAGCGCGAGAAAAATCCTTGGTTCACGATTGACGGAGGGTTGGGCGGCTCGGTCTTTCCTTCGTTGTGATTCGCATCGTCCCACTCTGGCCTATTTGTACGAATCTGCTGGTCGTATTGGTTTGTAGTATGGAAGTGAGAGGGCGAAGTCTCCGTCGCCGCCGGCAGCATCGTGGCAGCATCGTCGTCGTCGTCGTTATGATCAACTCGAGCGATCAATCAAGACTGTGCTTGCAAATTGGTCACACGAGCATGCTTAGATGGTTATCGCATGTTGGGATGTTTAATTTGAAGATCATTTTGCAGTCTTTCGAGGTGCCCGTGCACTTCGTTGTCGTCACCAATGAGCCAGGTCTGAAGCTCGGGCGCGAAGCCAAAGCTCTGGTGCTGATTGGAAGGTGCGCTTGCAGAGGTGATGATGAAAGTGCAGCCTGCCAGCACAAGGTTGTCAAGTGTCTGACATACAGCTAGAGTGCATAGCAAGGCAGATGCACATCATAGATCCCCTGGTGAAGCGGAAGATTCTCCTCGAGGTCTGTACAGCTGCATTGTTGCCGGCAGCGCCACGGATTCGCTTCTGTTCTCAGCTGCGTCGGCAGTCGCGAATACTCGATGCAACGCCTTCCTCCTTCATCGCGGAGGCCGCAGATGTGTCTTACTTGTAGCAGGCTGCCTGCAGCAGAATATTTGTGACAGCCCATCTCTCGGTATAGGTTGTCAAGAGAGCTTCTCGATGGTGTGTTGACCATCGTCAGGCAGCGACGTTGGTGGTTTTCGAATTTGCCTGGCTCTCTGTACGAAGAATGATCATAGTACTCGGGTTCATGACGTCGGCATTACTACTAAAACGGATGGTGCCACGAGAGCATTGAAATATTATGGAAGAACCCTGAAGGTTTTTCTAGACTGTCTGACCATGTCATGTGCTGCTGCCGAAAGGTCTTGGGCAAGCATGCTCAGGGGCGTTCAAGGCTGCAAACATGTCGTCATTGTTTACTGAGCGTGTATCTGACCACAACTTTGCCTGTCCACTTTGAGCCGTGGTGCCAAGGTGGTGCCCTGCCCCTGGCCGATCACGGACTGGGATGTTCAGGAAGCGTCTGATCGTAGGATCGTTAGTTAAGTTGATTAGGCAAGGCAGATAGAAACTGCAGCGCATCTGTCGTATAGCGACTGCGCTCAGAAGAAGGGTATTGCCTCTATTCATATCGATAGCTGGCCAGAACGTGATTCCCACTGCGCTTACAAAATGTTCGGGCATCGTCTCGCATGCAGCGGCACGGCGGCTCCTTAGTCAGACTCACACAGTTTCAGTATTCAGAGTACATTGCTGCAGGGTTGGCGCCGCCGCTTGGGCGCCGGTCTCCGACTTGTCGTGGCTCCTGCCCAGAGCCAGAGGAGACAGACAAGCTAGGCGCTTTTGTGGATCTGCACAAGTACTAGCATGAAAAGCTCGGCTGGACGTACGGAACCATGCAATGCAACACGAAGGCGTTGCCGCGGCTAAATTGCGACTAAAGATTCACTCGACAATTTAACTTCTGGGAGGACATGGAAAGCGAAACGACGAAGCAGCGCATATACTCCGAGCATCACTTCTTTCTAGGACATGATTGCAAGCGGGGTAGGGGTCTAAATGATTGCGAAATGCCACAATCATTTCCAGCCCCCAGGAATGATTGCAGAGGCCGCATGGATCGTCTTCAAATGTGACGCATTCGATGTAAAATGATTGCCATCCTCCTAGGGGTTCCCAAGGAAATAATTGCAACGGGGGAGGGCTAAGCCTCCTGAGTGAGTCCTGATCTCCGAGCCTTTTTGGGGAGTACATATAGTAGACCTCAAAATTATTAAGCAGATCACTCAACATGATGTATTCCTATAGTTTGTATTTATATAAACTTAATCTATATTTACACGCACATAGATAGATATATATATATATACACACTGAAATATATTTGCAAATTTTTGATATAAGTATAATGCAAGCTGCAAGTGTGTACGAAAAACGCACGTGTACTTTGGAATGGTTTACACGCATGCAGTATCCACAGACGGATAGATGCTCGGATGTGGAGAGGCAGGGAGTGAGCGAGGTTGAATGCACCCAGGCCCTAGGCAGAGCGTAAGACAGAAGCCACCGTTGAGCCTGTCAATGTTCAAACTCAAATCAAGACAATTCAGCACGATCCCAAACACAGGCCTTCATGACAGGTCTTCTGCCAGAAAGATTTGCCTCTGTGGCTAGACTGTCTCTATCACTATACTCTGCACGTACGTGCGTACCTTCAACTGTGTAATGAGTAGGTCTTTGCGGGCCTGATGCGTTTGCGCATCAAGATTTTTGTGACAAGCAAAGTCCCGCTCGAGACCTTGAAAGTGCACCCTGCGCGTGCTCCGTACCATGAGGGTCGACGCATGTCTCGCAAGAGGGCCAGGTCACAGAGATTTAAGCGCACGTCCGTGTTGCGTTGTCGCTGTGGCGCCGTACGAGGAGCTCTGGAGAGAACGATGAGCAAGCAGCAAAGACTGCGCTTGCGAGGGCAGCTCTGCCAGATGTTCAAGCTTGCTTTATGGCTGGGTAGGCTCTGGTAGGATGTGGAGGTTGCGCTAAAGATGCGAGCATTCTGTGTCGTGTCTTGAGGACCCCAAGGCTCCAAGGTCTGGTGAACACAGCCTGCAACACGTGCTGAGCGTGCTAACAGGCGATGATCCTCCCTCCGGCCCGGCAGCCAAAGGAGGCAACGCAACGCAGAAGAAAGGCGTCGCGCCTTTAATCGCCCCTGCTTTGACGAATGTCGAGGCCCCTGCGAAGCAGAAGGCCATCTGGGTGGGCAGCTGCCGCTTGCCTCACGGAGTAGAGATTAGAGAGATGCTCATTTTTTGCATCTCTCTTCGGAGAGATCCTTCAACTCAGGCGTTGAAAGGGAGAGGAAGGGTCAGGATGCACATTGCGCAAGCACTTGTGACTGGTGACTGCTGTGGCATGTTCTGGCTTTGCTGGTTCGTCCGGGCATGGTTTGCGCCAGCAGGACAGGTACGTGATCCCTGCCAACCTGAGCGGGCAGCCATGCCTAGCCGTCGCAGCGCACTGAGAGCATGACCTTCGATTATTTTCGATCGTTGCTGGGTGTACTGAAACGTAGAATCTAGGTAGAATCGACCTTGCAGGTAGATGAGGGATCTGGGAAGAGGCTTCGCCTGTCCTCTGCGTGGGCCTCTGCTGACAAGCAGTCTGGACAAGCGCTGCCATAAACAGAGCACCTGAAATCATGTAGAAGCTGGAAGGAAGATGGGGAGTGGTCGCGCACCACGCTGTTGAGCCCCGTCATGGCAGCGGCGCTGGCTGAACATCTGCCGGCAAGAGGGGGGAGGAACAGGAGGGTTCGGACCAGGTGTCTTTGCCTCCACTGCCCGGTTCCCGTGATTGTCTGTGCCCAGGTTCGACCTGCGCTGACTTGGGCTCAAGGTCGTGTGCTAGCAGGCACCTGTTCCTGCGAAATGGCGTCAAAGAGTTGCGGCATTATCGTGCCTTGGTGCAGATTCGAGGGTTGACTCGTCCCGGGTCGTGCGCAATCCCGCAACATCAGCATAAGGCCTGCTGTTTGGGAGTATGGGCGTGGTCCTCCTGCGGCCAGCTCTTCGCTGCTAGCGATCTGAGCGGTGCAGCTTCCTCCTTCGAGACGCAGGAACCTTGATGCAGCTATCTAAAGCCTTGTGAGTCCCAGGCCGTATAGGATCCGTCGGGGCTTCCAACGATTTTGGTGCTTCCAGCCACAGTCTCGCTTTTGCCCAGGCTTCAAGCACGCTTTCTGCTCTTCAGAACGGCGTGGCAGGAGTTTTGCTTGTCACCTTCGGCATCCTGCTCAGAGTTATTCATGCCATGATTCCCGGAATGGCCGTCGTCCTTGTCTGCTACACGATCTACCGGCTCACCAAAGCCAATGCATGGAATCGCCGCACGGCGTTGCTGCTCACGCTGGCCTTGCTTCTGACCTATGGCCTGATCCGAATAGGGAGCAAAATGGGCCAGCTGCCGGCGACTTTCCAAGCATAAAGGGGGTGGAGCCCAATTCAGAGTTAACTACTTGGTAGCAAGTTGACATAGTGTAGAGTAGAGTCTGAGTAGTGTTCTAGTTGCACCGCCTCAGTAGGGTAGCAAACGGTGTAGGCATGCTTGTTCATTTGATCGTTGATCGCTCACCTCACTTTTGCTTCATGCACACGGCCATCTGGGTTTATCTGTTTCTCTAGACTTTGTATATTGTTGTGACTTTTTTGCAATCGAAACAGGTAGTTGCAACTCCTGAGCCAAAGGTAGCTCTTTCTGTCTCTCTCTCTCTATAATATGTGCATATGATATGTACGTATGTATGTACGTATG